AGTGACAGCCTTTTATGTGTGCTTGTGAGCACATGACTTAGTGCCTTGTGAGGACACATGCAACTCCCAGCAGCTCACGAGCTGAGGCCTCTGGCCCTCACAGGTGCTGTTTGTCCGTGTAAGGGGTTCGCGGCGAATTCTTACAAATGACTGGACACCCAATTAATTCTGACCACATCTGGTGTCTTTTGTAATGATATCCTCAGGTGAAACTGCTATCTTATTAAAGCTAATCATAATTTGCACTTGCCAAGTGATTTGCCATGGTAGTAAGGTGCTTTTGATGGCTTCACATTGTTGAAATTATCTGACTCCTCTATTGGTCTTGTGTGTAAGAGGAACTCTAAAGAGAAATTATTGTTTGCTATTTTCTGTTTGTATTCTATCTGCTTCTGCAGCCTGTGTATCTTATTTTGTTCATATATATCTGCTAGATTTTTTTGCAGACATGTCTTCTTTTCTTCAAAGATCTTCTCTCTTCAGGTTTTGTTCAATATATTGAGAGGTGTACTTCTGTTGCCTGTATTATCTGCTGATATCTCACTGGTAGTGGCTTTACTACTACCAGTACCTTCATCAATATTCATCTTCTTTATATTGGTGTCTATCTCTGTCAGATCTGCAACATGGGGTGTTGTTGTGATTTATTTCATGTGTCTTGGTGGCATCATACTAACTTAGGCAATCATATGTCAGAGCATTCAGAATGTTAGAGAAACCAGTTATAGATCATATAGATTTTCCCAGAATTAGAGATACAAAAGAGCTAAGTAGATACAATGCCCACAACTGATGGGAGAGAGTCATGCATAAAATGTAGGGATTCCCTCACTCAGAGACTGAACACTGGAGTTCCCATGATCCATGCAAATCATGTGATTCTTATACATTCAGTGTTGGGGTCACATGAATACCTCTGAACATCCAACATCATCTGATGCTTGGTTGGTCTAGGTCTATATTCATAACAAGATCTCTGGATTCACTCTAATAAATAAGAGCTGAAAATAATATAATTCTATCTGCAAAGACTGAATAAAGCAGTAAGAGAAATTTCTGATTTTTATTCTGAGCTACAACACTTTTATCAGCTTGTAGAACTTTAATAAAGATACTTTAAGATATGACAGAAGTTTGGAAGAAATTCTTTTTTATTAAAATTTTATATATTTTTCACTATAATATTATACTGACTGATTTTCTTGCTTAATTAAATACAGCAGTGCAAGCACTTAACAAGTTAGTTAAATTTAATAACTATACTTGCAAAAAAGTAAAAAAAGCATTGAAGTATAAGACTATAGAAGTACTAAAAGTAGTAGTAATTATCTGCTATCTATCTATTCTTGTCAAGTGACTTGAGATAAACAGATTTAATCTTGTTCTTGTGATGCTCACAAAACTATATTACTTAGTTAATTTCTATATTCTCTTCTGTCATCCCTTGCATGATATTTTAAAGAATTTAAGATGTAAAAGCAAGACTGTAATTACAAAGCTTGTTTATATACTCTAGAAGCTTATTCTTTTGTATATTAGTAAGCTTCTTCTTATATCTAAAGATTACTTTATAATGATTAACTTGTAAATCTTGATACCACCAGTGCAGAGTCTCTTGACTAACTGAATATTTTTTTGCAGTCACACTGTAATTTAGAGTTTCTTGTGATTCAAGATCTTTAATTGCAAGCTTAATTGCTTTGTTGTTGACCATGCTATTGCATATTAAAGTTGAGTGTTGAAGAAATTTGATGGTGTGAAAATTTGGCTCATTGAGTGGTTTGGCTTGTTGAGTGGTGAGCCACCTTAACTAAGTTGACTGTCTACTTGGTTGGTTTAGCTATGGGTTTATCACCGCGGCCAGCATGCAGGCTGCTGATGCCTCTCTTTTTTGCTATAAGGTCCTCGCACGCCGCTTTGGCTGATCTGAGCTTTGACAGACTTAATAAATAGCAGTCATTTTGTTCACGCCTCCTTAGCTCGACTAGTTATTTAACCAACAACCCTGGTGAGCTTTCCTAGGCACAATGGTGTTATGTATTCAATGATATACGAACAAAAAGGAAGATATAGGGCATATGTATGTATGAACTGTACATGCTACATATCTAAGCACGTCAGCTGGCTGGGAGAGTCCATAGCAATGAGCAAAAATATAGGGAATGCAAGTACTGAGTATATCTCGCCGACTTGTGGCCAATGGCTGAAGCGCCACAGACATTGATAAAGGCGATCGATGTCAATTCCCTCGCAAAACCGCTATTTTTGGGCATTATTGGGACGATATCCTCTCTCGCTCATCTGACTCTCCATGTATATGACCACGGGACGGGGCCGGATCGACTCCCTGCTAACCACATGCTTCCCATCTTTCCACATGGTTATACAATCAGTCTTAGATGTGCTCACTATGAACTCCGGCGTGCGTGATTGCGTTAGATTTCATGAGGATGCAGCGGTCGGAAAGATAGCCCCCGCGATACATTCGCTGTATATTTCAAAGGTCCTGTTGGAATGACATGAGCCACATTAGTTATTGGTTCCGGTGTCATTCACTGATGCAATAGCACTCCGCAGACGATCTCTCAGTCTTGTAACACGCTCCATATTAACAACCCCCCCCCCCCTCTTCTTCTTGAGGTTGATGGTCTCGGTCGCTAGGCCACCTCCTACTTGTCATGCAAGAAACCGCCTCGTGTTCTCATTTTCAGCTGCCATGGTTTTATATTATCAAGGAAGTGGAATCTTTGTCGCTGGGAGTTAAATCGTCTGCGGAAGTAGGTATCATGCTCGCGAAGGAAAGACACAGCGACTATCATTATCAGTTGTCTTCCAGCCCGCTGATGTTCTCGGTTGGAAATTCCGCTGAAAAGCATTGTGAAAGATGACCTGGCCGATTGTCTCTTCTCACCTCTTGCCCCTCTGCTCTTTTGACAACCTCGAGTGGAGAGAAATTAACTAGCCGTGCGACCACATTTTTCACTGTATGTGGTACAACGCGCGCGAATACGATCCAAACTGTGTTTGCTTTTTCCGTTCTTCGACAACTTGTTACTCCGTACCTAGTTGATTGTTCGGAAACATCAACATGGGGAGTGCCCCTCGGATTCCCTGCGGGTACTCGATCATACCCGTGTGGGATATCGTTGCGTTTCAGTTGTTGGAACTTCCAAAGGCTGCGTATTTCGTACATTATACAGAGTCTTTCCCTCGCGTTGGGCTCTGGGGACAACGCCTTTGTTGAGAACAAGCTTCAGCTCTCTTTTGCGTAGCCGGGTAAGGAGGCTGCATCGATGAGGACGGGAAAGATGATCACCCCAATCATACTCATTATTTTACTCATCAGCATCCCTTGTAAGTCAGAGCCACAGAATCTTTGCTACTTTTTCACACTGCTGTCTGCTTTGACATCTAAGAATGATTCTTTCTCCAACTCACATGTTGCAGGATTAAACGCGTGGCGGTCCCAAGACTTCATTTTGCTGATAGTCCCTTTGATTCCCTCCACATCTTAATACAGATATGTGGTGCTATCCCGCGCGTTGAGTCGGCCAATTATAGCGTTGATGCTTCCTTTGGAGTCTTTGGTGAGAACTGTAAGATTAGTGTAGGCTGTTGTGTGTGGCCTCTGGGATCATAACAACATGAAACTGTCTTTGTATACATATTAGGGAGAGTGAGGAAGTAGATCCAGCATTAACTGGATGATAATGGAAGGGTTGCAGTCCATAGATGGCTGGATAACGCCTTGTTTGTATGGGACAGAGAATACTGCAAAACCTCACATTCTCAACTATAACTTCCCTTAAGATCTCTTGCATGTTTAACTATGCATGCACCACACAGACATGTTGCAGGTGTCCCACAAAAAAAAAAAAAATGGAAAAGCTTTCTTGGACATTGGATGATATATACATCCATGAACTATATGCCATATCGTAGCAGGCGCACAAGACTTTGTACCCTTGAGTTATAATCAGCACTCAAGGCTCTTCAGTAAATAAACGAGCAGCTAGAGCTCAAAGATGATACGGGCATAGGAATTCAGCCGACCGAGCTTGCTGAAAAAGCTTCACATCTTCCAATCATTGGAAGAGCAACGGACCACTCCTGGGAACTCCAAACCACAAAGCCTATTGCTTGCCCAACCCGGTCATGGATTCGTTTTTGGGGTGGGGGAGGATGTGATTAATGGCCGAAGAGTCCCGGAGAGTCGGTTCCCAGATTTTTGGGGGCTGGTTAACCATCCCTAGGTCGCTACCACGAGCTTTGAAGTGCAGACTTGACGCATCCAAACCTTGGACGATAAGTACACTTGGAGGGTTAAACTAAGGATCGGAGAATGAAGTGTTGGTCTGATGGCGGAAGTCATTCCCTTAATCTCATTCGCATTTTGACAATCTGCCTCACGCTAACAATTAGCGGTAGCAATATGTATCTTCACGTCAATGTCAAACCCGAGATAAAGTTTGATTTTTTGACATAGGTTTTGAAGACAGAGGAAAAGGCAAGGAAGATGTGGTGTTGGCTTCTGGAATTATACCACCACTAGGCCTCACGTGATTTAGAGCCTAGGCACTGGGGTGAGCTCTATCCTGTCGCTCGTAGAGAGTGAATTCTCATAAAAGGGATGGTTACGGATCTGGTGATGAGGTGCCTAGGGACCCGCGAACATGATGAACAGGGAGGATTCAAAAGTCGTCCTTCGCACCCAAGTAATTTCGACAAGGTTAGCTCAGGAGGGGAGGCTGTCGCATCCACTTATGCCAGATTGATTGGAGACAAGGGGAATTTAAGACGGAATGCCGCTGTAGGCCGGGAATGTATCTGATTGGATCATCTTTGTTGGTAATGATGGACTCTTGACTGTCGGACGGAGGGTCCCAAATATATCAGCCTTGCTGTTATACGATGACACTGAGAGAGTTGTCGCTTATAACAATTGTACTCTTGTCCTACCAATGTCTAACGGTAATCTTTAAGAGACGATAGCATCGAGCATGGCATACACGTTCACTGTCGCACGCATGTCCATTATAGGCTATATCGTCGGCACCTTGGTCTATCGTTTATATTTTTCTCCATTGTCGAAAATCCCTGGGTCAAAGCTCGCTGCGGCAACGTTATGGTACGAGTTCTATTATGACGTTATTTTAGGCGGCCAGTATACGTTCAAAATAAAGGAGCTGCATCAAAAGCATGGTTCGAACCACGTTCATTGGGGACACGGCATGTTGAGCTTCAACGTCCGGACTGATAGCAGTGTAGGGCCTATAATTCGAATTAGTCCGTACGAGGTGCATATCGATGACCCGGAATATTATCATACGCTGTATTCACACCGTTGTCCGCGGGATAAATGTGATTATCATGTTAAACCATTCAACCTCCCAAAATCGTCGTTCGGAACTGAAAGCGCTCGAGTGCACCGTCTCCGACGAGGTGCGATGAACCCTTTTTTTTCACGAGGATTTGTGTTGAAACATGAATCACTGGTCCAGGACTTGGTTCAAAAGTTTTGTCGTCGAGTTGAAGAGTTTGCGCGAGACGAGGAAATTGTCCCTCTCTCTCTTGGATTCACATGCCTCACCAGACGTGATCACATCATTTGTAGTGAACCGGTCGTATCGATATTTAGAGGCATCGGATTGGCATCCACATTGGGGACAGACATTGAAAGACGCCTCAAAGCTTTCAGTGATAACGAAACAGGTGGCGTGGACACTGCCAATCCCCAAATGCTTTCCCCAGTCGTGGGCCAAAGCACTGAATCCAGGGCTCGCCCTCTTCTTTGACCTGACCCAACGGACACATCGGCGCATTTTGGAAGTTCTGAAGGAACGAGAGCAGGAGAGGGGGGTGAGTGGCCCCGGAAGAAGGAAGACGCTGATAGATCAACTGCTGGACTCTAAATTGCCACAAGAAGAAAAGTCCATGGAGAGGCTTGCCGCGGAGATTCGCTCAGCAATTGGGGCGGGGACGGAGACAACGTCCAACAGCATGACGTATCACCTCCTCGCCAACCCGCAAAAGCTTCAGAGGCTTAGGGATGAGCTGCTCAAGTTGGGTCCCGGACGGGAGGCGAATCTTTGCGAGCTCGAGCAACTGCCGTACCTGGTACGTAGTGCATGATGCGGGAATCCCAAGAAGGGTTTCTCTGCTGACAATTGTGAGTAGTCATCGTGTATCCTTGAAGGGTTGCGGTGCGTATCTGCAGCGCGGCGAGGGAAGCATCTGAGGAGAAGATGTGCTGAGATTACCTCCCCAGGTTATCCTACGGCATTAGTACCCGCCTCCAACGCAAATCAGACCACACAGAGATCGTATACAAAGCATATAGAATTTCTCCCGGGGTATGTATTTGGTCATGTGGAGGCTGAGGCAATTTGCTGCAGCACTGACAATGTGGCCACGAGCTAGACTGCTGTTGGGATGACTTCGGTCCTCCAACATCACGATGAAGCCATATTCCCAGATTCCTATGGCTACGTCCCAGAACGTTGGCTAAATACGGAGGAACGGAAACGGTTGAAGAAGTATCTGGTGACGTTTAGCAAGGGACCACAGAGGTGCATCGGGATGAAGTGAGTTTTCTTTTCCCTCCAAGCAGGATCCGGGACCCCCTCCCTCTTGAGGATGAGCAGAGGTGTTCACGGATGATGGCTGTGGTGATTAGTCTTGCCCTGGCAGAGCTCTACCTCACGGTTACAAACATATTCCGGAAATTCAATCTTGAATTGCACAACACAGGCCGCAACGACATCGATATCCGATATGATTTATTCATTCCACGACCCAAAAACTTAAAGACAGCTGGTGTACAGGTGCGAGTCAAAGGCCTTGACAATTAGTCGCACGATCGGGTTGGTATTCGAGAAACGATTGAGGAGCTCCTCCCTATTAAGAGTGCGTGTCTGTAATCCGAGCTTCGAAGCCATTAGTTTTGCAAGGTCATAGCATAGGTAGATATCGGCTTTCTTATCGCTAAAGGCCTTTCCTAACTGCTCCAGGATGCGAATAAGCTCCAATTCCGAACGTATCTTAGTACTCTTAATCTTTTGTAGGAGCTGCTGTTCAAATCCATTGCAACGGCAAGTACCACAGCGTACTGCCATGACAGACTCTTCGCGCTCATGCCGAGGCATCTCTTCATCGCTTTCGGGAGGAATAACAGACTCGTCACCATCGCCTAGACCTTGGAGGGTTTGGTGTGCCGACATGGCTGCAATTCTCTCACTGCGGCGTTTCGGAGCTTCTGATTACAGACACGCACTCTTAATAGAGAGGAGCTCCTCAATCGTTTGGCTCACATCTATAAGAATCGCCGAAATATTGGCTCAGTCGAGACTGATGACAGTACTTACCTTTGGTTCCGTTTGGCAAATTGACCAGCTAGAGCTGAAGATGCCCAGAGGTCTCCCATTCTTTCTGAAGATTAACAGTAGTAAACTTGTGTGAGGGAACAACTTTAGGCCTGCCTGAGAATTGCTTGCTGCGATAACTAACCAACTAAACTTAAGTTAATTAGTTGACTAGTTAATTATTAACAAACTAACTGGTACAGAGTAGTTAACTAGACAACCCTACTGAAGTAGTTAAATGAGCAGTTTTTTTTTTGAGAATCATCTTGTGATGAACAAGGAACCACCACAATCTGGTGCTAGTCAAGGTCAGCCATATTGGAAATTGTTGCCTCAGACATAACTAACTAGTTAGTTAAATACCGCAGCTGGCTTTTGCACCAAGAACTAGTTAACTAGTTAACCATTCCAGTCAGAGTGCTTTGTGTACTGTGGAAACATGTTTGCTCCTTTGTTCCATAGCTCCCCACTGGGATCAGCTGCTATTGTTTCAATGTTTTGCCCTTATATATTTCCCAAACCACTCGTCCGGTTTAGAACTTTCCGTCAGCCGTGATATCAGGCAGGTGGCAAGTTTAGTTGATGCGAGCAGCCGGCCCTGTTCAATAGCAATTTTACCATGCTAGACTCATGGCATCAGTTCTTATTCTCTATTCAGTCTATGACGGTGATCTTGTTGCCCATCCTCTCTTTCCTCTCCGGTTGGGGGATTCTTACTCTGCCTTCCAGCTATGCGAAGCGACTTCTTCCTCCAGTTCTTCTGGGCGCCTTTATCGCATTCCGTCGCCAGAATGAATTCTCTTCCAATCGTCTCCTGAACGAACTGTTTGGTAGGCTGATGATGCTGTGGATGATGTATATGCCCTTCCTTGTGTACATCAAGGGATACGATGGCGAGTCGCACCGATTATTTGGCAGCCAGCATAAGCATGCTCTTTCTTCGTGGCCCAGCCTCGCAAAATCCTCAGCCAGACGAGCGCTATGGCGAAGCGCAATCAGCGTGCTAAGCGATATCTTCTTCACTTTCAATGCAAGAAAAGCGTGTGCTCTCAAGATGCTATTCAATGGGCGAGGAATAAACACCGCATGGCAGGTCCACGCATTGCCGTCTCCTCGATCATCGATGACGCTCTCGCCATCTTCCCACATCAATCCGTGCCTGCCTTTGACAGTGCGCTGGCAGTTTGTTTCCCGTCGCTCGATAGCGCTTTTGACAAAACTTATCATATGGCTCATTTGGTCCCACTATTCGCCTTACCTAGTTCTTGCGCGAGAATCCGACTATCTCCCTGAGAAGCAAATACTTTTGCGACGATTGCTGTTGAACGCATCTTCAAGATTATTGGGAACACCAAATCCGTACTTCCTCCACCCAGTCACCATCCATGAGATCAAGATGCGGATATGGATCGTGGCTGACAACAATATCCAGAGTATTGTTATCCTGAAGGGGTTTCATGACATTTGCGCCCTGTTATTTGTTGGGCTAGGTTTTGATGTGCCTGATGAGTGGCCGCCGTTTTTCGGTAGCATTCAGCACGCGTTCACAGTGCGCGGTTACTGGTCAGGGTTCTGGCATTTACTAATGCACCGAGGCCTAAGTGCGTATGCTACCCTGGTCCTTCACCACGTCCTTCGCATCCGCAGACGGTCACTGTTCTCGCGGCTTGTTCACGGGCTCCTTGTATTTCTCATATCAGGCTTCTGCCACGCGGTCATGCACAACTACACGATGCCGGGTTGCAACAAGATGCCAGTAATCATTTTCTACGCCCTGCAGCCAGTTGCACTGACGATTGAGGCCGTCGTGCAGATCATCTGGAAAACATGGAGATCAAGGCATCTTGACAGTTTCCCCAAAACTAAGTCCGAGGGTGTTATGCTCCACTCTATTGGATACTTGTGGGTGATTTTATGGTTCACATGGTCGGAGCCGAAGTCCATTCTTGCGGTCAATTTTGAGCTCTCTCAGCGCTGGGCGCGGGGGAACTAGTGAGGGTTACCGGTGTCTACATCGACGGCAAGGAAAAATAGGAAAAAAAAAATAAAATAAAATAAAAAGTAATTGCTTATTCCAAAAAATCAATCACATTTATAAATTTCACTGTACTCGTAGGATTCAGCCGTGAATGGGTAGCACACAATGCTTGAATCTCAGAGGCCGGCTCTCTCAATCAGTCTACACGCAAGCTTCACTTGCGATGAGACTTCGTCAAGCTGCGACGGAAGGTTACTACCGTGGCATTTTAGGAGAAACAGGGGACTGCAACTTACATGGCCTTTAGCAAATATATTAAAGTGGTGACCGGGGATGTCCATGACTGTAGATATCATATCATATCCGTACTCCTCCCATCCCAATCTGGGCATCTCTCGACACACATCTACCCTTGAGACTGCATTACAACCCTCGGGACTGGAGATAGGAACATACTCATTGCACCGTAGGAGAACGGTTGGGGGTACGGTGGGCAAGATGTCGCGCCACGGCACATCCATCTCCGTTACGGAGCAGGAATTCCCGTATTGCGCAGGCATCCGGGACGACAGAGTTGCTTCCATAGCTTTTCGGCGGCCGATGAGATCCTGGTCACCACATCCTTTCCAGACCGGGGGAATCCAGTCGGAAGACATCGCGACCGCCATTTTCATGCAGTTCGAGACCAACTCACGGGTTTCAGGCCTTGTATGCTCGTCATATTCAACTTGATGAGGAGCAACGTTTGCACTTTGGATAGCCGCATTCAGCGGGTTTATGCTGTCTATCATCACGATTCCAAGAACCTGGATATCGGAAGTTCTTGCGAGTATGCTGGCAACCTCCAACGAAATCATGCCGCCAAGCGACCAGCCTGGATTTGGGAAGGGCGGGGTGTCAGTGCATTCAGGGGACGAAGGCAGAGAGAGCAGATCCGTTCACCTCCAAGAATAATAGGCCCCGATGGTAGCACGGACCGTATCAAGCTCGCATATATTCGGCCCATCTCAGGCAGTCCACCCTCCCATGGTTCACCAGAATAAAATCTCGGGTTCTGTATCGCATATACCGTACGGTCTAAAGATTCAAGGTAGAAATAAGACACCGTCGTGCCTCCCCCATCGTGGATGAGCACAAGTGGCGTAGCCGACTCGAAGCCATCCGGCGCTGACTGAACTAGAAAAAGCGAGTCGTCCATCATCTACAGCGAGCGCGGCCACAACCGGAAACCACCAAGTGACGTCGCGACCGGTGATGCAGTTGATGTGAGCCAGGGATTGTAACATGCACAATGCGGCGAGAACGAACAACGAATCGTGAGCTGCTCAACCTTGGGCTCGCAACAAGGTGGGAAAGAAATGTTAAACAAGTAGTTAAGCTGGGATGCACGTCCTGTCTCTCACTGCCTCATCCCACTGAGTTCCAGCCCCACGTCCAAGCTTAGTTAACTTTACTAACTAACTAGTTAGTTAGTTAACTATGGGGGTTTCGAACTCTATGTCGCCTTTTCTCAACAGCAGGCCTTTAGTGAAAATGACCAAGTTTGTGTACATCTAGGAGTGCAGAACAGGCATGAGTGGGATTAGTGACCTCCTTCACTGGGATTCTAGGCGTACATTACTTAAGCATTGTATTCCGTAAACATGCTACTATAATCATGATCGTCCATTTTTTGTGATGAGAGCTCAAAAATCCTTTGATTGCAACAGGCTCTGTCTTAGTCCTGCTTTGCCTTTTGGACCCTCAGCACACAGGCTTTCAACAGCCCATGATAACCAGCTGAAGAGGGTGTGATTCTCACTTTGGTAGTTATGGATATCTCCACTAAAGGTGGAGTGTCGAAGGCGCACACCATTGAGCGTTTAAACCACCAATGGACATCATTCAGAATTGGACAGAGACGGGAGGGGGGGCCGTTGGATTGGGTTAGAGTTAAGTATCCAGTCGCTTGGCCAGGCACAGAGGTAGATTTCAATGCGAAGATCCTTGATGTGCTAGCTAGCACTATCTTGGGAACTAGGTCAGAGATTAAAAAAGACTCGGGATTCCGAGCAGATCTTATTTTTGCCGCTTAAATTTCCTGATATGCTTCGGAGGCGTATAGCTTCAAGTTATCCTTCAACTATCGAATTTACCATGTTACTGATTGATGTTCCGATATTTCCGCGTACCGGCCGGAATAGTCTACGTTTACTATCATGTAAATATTTACGTGAAGGACCACTTGGGGATGGAAGAGAGAAAGAAGAGCTGGTGAAAGCGGTTCTCAAGCAAGGCTTTGGAGAATAGTTCTTATCAGTAGTTATTGCAGTGTAAGGCTAACAAGATATCAGAACGTTCCTCTCATCAAGTTCACAGACCGGCACACACATATGCACTGAATCGGGATTTAAGAAAACATCGTAAGTAATCCATCAGCCAGATTGTATATCTGTGTTGAGGATGCTAAATCACTTTTGCCTCGATACTGTATCCGAGGCCATATCTTGCTTTCCAGGTTTTTGTCCATACACAACGTATCTTTGATTCCCTATCAGTACGCAAAACAACAAACGTCAAAAGGAAGCTTCTCCACATACATTGGCCAGTACGCGTGAATTCGAGGATTCTGAATGTCTTTGCGACACTGTGCAAGCAACACTTCCAAATCCGCCGTCGACATCCCCAGTACTTGGACACATAATCGGGCGGAAGCCGCATACAAGCCATCCAAAGTGTTGACCATGTTCCACTCCCCGAGCTCTTTGTAGTGCGGATCCTTTGGCCATCGATTCTGTGGCCACTTGTATGGAATCTCAACCACGTTCACAAAACCTGTTCGTTTCATCATGTCTTTATATTCAGCGGCAAGCCCACCGTCTCTTCCCAGTTTCTTTAGGGCTTTCACAAGATAGTTGTTCAGCTGCTCATAAGGCGTATTCTCCATGGTACCGTCATCGGACCTGACTGGGAATGCGAAGTCCTGCATCTCAAACCAACCACCAGGTTCAAGGGCGTCATACGCTTGCTGGAAGAGCTGGGGGAAAGAGGGTGAGGAGCCAGCAAGCATTCTTCCGTGAATAAAGTCAAACTTGTGAGGAAATGTCCAAGGAAGGTCAAAATCGTCGATTTCGAACTTGCAGTTAGGCGGGACAAACGAAGGTTGAATGGCGCTGAGGTCCGTACCTAGGACTTTAGCGGTGGGATACTCATCTGCAAAATCGATGGCCCATAACCCGGTACCGGTTCCCAAGTCCAATACACTGTGGACCTGACGTGGTACCGGCGAGTGAAAGAGCTTGCGGTTCATCGTCTTGAGGAATATTTCGTGCTGCATGTCCAGCCTCTCCTGTTCACTTTCATCCTCCGGCATAAAGTAACTGCCGTCTCTGTACTTGTGATACCCACGTCCGTTTTCCATAACACTCTGATAGAAGCTGGACCGCAGACTCTCTGAATACACTGAAGAACCAGCATCTCCCAATGCAGAGTCGGAATCGGAAAGGTCTGGCTCAATATGGCCCTCATTCTCATGTGCTGCCATGACAAGCGTTGCTTAACGACAACGGGGAAAAGAACTCGAGCACCCAGTTCCTTTGCTTTGCGGAGCTTTTGATACCAATGAGCCTTTTCTGCGGTGTAGATAACAGAAAAATGAGCATGGAGAATAGCGAGGTGTTTCGGAACTCAACGACAAGGTCCTGATTTAAAGCATTTTCAATTCAAGGGATCATTGAACCTTGAACCAATCAAAACGTCCACAAGCATGGGTTATCAGGACCGGCAAGGCTAAAGGTTTGCTGGCAGCATCCTTTCCGAAATGGCGACATGACCGTTGTCTTCCCGTCCAAGCGGGATGCGACCTTATGCATACTAGCGCATGCGGAACGGCACGACCATAAGTTATATGCAGCCCGCCATGCCAAGTCAGACTCCGGATAGGTGTTCAAAGAAACTTGCTGTCTATCGTCGTCTAGAACGCACGCTACGAGGCGCCGGTGGGGTAACATAGGTCGGTACGGGATTGATTTAACAGACTCGAACCCCCGGCCCGTACCCGTCGCATCAGAGCCCTGTCTTTCACAACCTCCCTTGCAACATATGGTCTGCCTTCCTTTTTCCTCCCAAAATGTCTTACGTGGTCGACACTCTTACATACGGCGGCCTGATCTGGGCTGCTTACCTCGCTGGCTTGGTGATATATCGCCTGTATTTTCATCCTCTCGCAAAATTCCCGGGGCCTAGGTACGCTGCCCTGAGCCGATGGCATGAAATATATTACGACGTCTACCTGGGAGGGAAATTTATATTCCATATTGAAGATTTACACAAGAAATATGGTGTGTTGATACATTTTGTGCCAGACTAGTCGGCAGGCTGATACAAACTGACAATATAGGTCCGATTGTTCGAATTGCACCTGATGAGCTACACGTTATCGACTCGGACTTCTTTGATACTATCTTTACCAAAGCTGGAAGAGTGGACAAATATGAATGGTTATCAAACCGCTTTGGCAATGCTACTTCCACCCTGACAACAGCCCCAGATAGCCTCCATAAGCTGAGGCGAGGAGCCCTGAACCCTTTCTTCTCGAGAAAGCGGATTATTAATCTTCAAGAGCTTGTTCGAGAAAAGATCGCGATTCTGGTCGGCAAAATCAATGAATACAAAGAATCAGGGGCTCCAATGACTATCAGCAGAGGATACATGGCTCTCGTCGAAGATATTATCATGCAGTACTGCTTTGCTCGGGATTACAATCACCTTGAAACTCCTAATTGGAAACCTATCTTCCACGATCCTTTAATGGCCATCAGCATGAGCGGGAATGCGGCCCTTCACTTTCCCTTGGTGCCCAAGATAATGGAATGCCTACCTCAGTCTTGGGTCGTTAAGCTCAACCCCTTATACGTTCCCATTTTCCGGCTTCAAAATGTCAGTCACTCATACTGTCCAGTCCTCTGAACCTGTTGACTTCAGCTCACTGCCGAGTGACAGGACTTGAGCCAGCAAATCCGTAATTTGAAAGAAGATAAAGTCGATGCCAAAGATGGCCGCGCGACCGTGTTTTTTGAGTTAATCCATGGCGACCTCCCCGCAAGCGAAAAGGAAGATCGCCGTGTGCGAGACGAAGCACAGCTAATTATAGGCGCTGGCCTTGTCACGACCTCATGGGCGCTTAGCGTCGGCACTTTTTTCCTTCTGAGCAATCCTGAAGCGCTTGCCAAGTTGCGACGCGAGCTGGGAGAGGCTATCAGGGAGGACAATTACTCTAAAACACTCCTTCAGTGGGCTGAACTAGAAAAGTTGCCTTATTTGACTGCTGTGATAAAGGAATCTATTCGACTCTCCTATGGCACATCGTCACGTAACGTCCGCCTCTCCCCCAACTCCCTAAAATACAAGGATTGGGTGATCCCAGCACGCACACCTGTGTCCATGACAATTCCCTTCCTGAACCATGACGAGGAGATATTTCCTGACTCCCACGCCTTCAACCCTGAGAGGTGGCTGAATTCGCCGAAAACAAGCAACGGATCAAACCTGGATCGATATTTTGTCGGATTTGGGAAAGGAACAAGATCGTGTTTAGGCAGCAAGTGAGTTTGGACCTCGACTTTTACCCCCTAAAGAGTAATATACACTTGCAATCATTGGCTAGGGCTAATTGTGTCCTGGAGTTTGGCGTGGTGCGAACTCTACCTGATCTTTGCCACCATATTCCGATATTTCGACTTCGAGCTCTACAAAACCGATAAGTGCGATGTAGAATTAGTGCACGATTATTTTTTACCGTTCCCGAAGCTCGACACAAAAGGCATTAGGGTTCGCGTGAAGCAGTAAAAACAGCTGGCAGCCGCTTGATTGGCTCCCAATTGATATGGAAGTTGTTCAAGTACTCGCGGTCTTACGTCGGCGGTTCGATGGAAGCATAGGGGTTATTGCAGCTCCGCCTGCATATAAATATAAATCTCCAATACTCCATACATCCTCGTGCATGCATAAGCCGTCCTTCTTTGCTCCTTCAGAGGACGTTGTTGTAACTTGGCGAAAAAGGATCTCCTAACTTAGAGCCGGCCCCACAACCCGGCGCCATACAAGCTCTATTGACATGTGGAGTCCGGGATTCATGAATGGTGCTTGTGGGTAGCAGAGCGCTTGATCACAAACCAGAGCAGTGATTCTCTCGTATCTCTCTGGTCCCTTGCGACTGAGTGAGCTATTTTCGTGACCATCTCTGAAAGGTAGACAATATAGTCAGCCCTTCCAATAATACATCCACATATAATCAGACCCGGCGCTATTCAAAACCATAAACCTGTTTGTAAAGTGGGGCACCAAAGTCAGAATCGCAAAAGGATAGTCTCTGTTTGCTCTCAGTCATCTTCTCAAGGGTGTCGTTCCAGTTCCTGAAATATATGCCTGGCGCTCTGGTAACGGTTGCTCAAGACATTGTGATCTGGGACCGGCTATTCATGATTGACCACTCTGAATGTACAGAGCTGCCTGTCAATCACCTGCCTTAGTTGATTTTAGATCCGCTAGTTTCGAACTTCGCTTGCAAATTATTATTGGTTCAAGTGGCCATGGTGTCGAGACACTAGTCTCTATGTAGTTAGTCTCCAGCTTAGCGGCTCAGATCTTCTTTGATCTGATGCAGAGTTTTCATCTTGCTTCTCATCCCACAATCCTTTGGATGACAGGAGCAAGGGCACACACATCTATTGAGTTCATGTTCTGTGGTTCCTATAGCTTCTGCATATGGTTAGTAGTCTTGTAGGTTCTTCTGAGAGGTTCTGAGCCCTTCTTTAGGAATCTTTAAAGCCTTTGGAGTTGCCAAAAGAGGAAAAACCCTTGATGAAATGATGGACATTGATCTGGAGAGCTTCTCAGCTCTAACTCCCAATCCAATCTCCAGAAATATGAGTCCAGCAGGACATATAAAGAATGCTAGCACTAATGCAGATGCACATTCACAGCCAGCAAGCATCACACAGTGAGTTGGCTTTCTACAGAATGGCATTGCAGGCTGCCAGTTCAGAGAAACAACTTTCTGAATTGAAAGAAATTTCAATATAGCAGACAAAATAGTTACAGACATCACTGGAACAACAATTTGGTCAATCCCCATGCTACAAGATAAGAAAAATGTGAATACTTGGTTAAACATTGTCAGGTTGCAGCTAAACCACTATAGCTGGGGGATTCTATACAATGCAGTGGTGTCAGAGCCTACAGAGGCTTTCAAAGATATACAAATTAAATGGCAAAGTGCCATGACATTCTTTGCTACATGGCTTAGCTTAAGCATGAAAGATGATACTCAAGATCAGATCAGCAAGCACTATAGAGATAACATTAATAATCCTGCTCTCATAATATTCTACATAAAGCAGCTCTTTCTAAAGCCTGATAAAAATACATACATTCATGTGGTGGAGAATTATTTCTACACATGTCAACATGACTATAAATCAGTTACACAATATCTTGATGTACTGCTTGAACAATACTAGAGAGCATTGTGAGTTTCTCATCTATTACATTCTTCCCTAGTGATTAACAAGATAATTGAGGGTGTACAAGCAATTAATGAGAACTACATAGATAGTGTGCTATCAATAGTTCAAAATACAAACTCAAGTGACATAACATATGAGGATATGAGAAATCTTGTGCAGGAGGCAAAGAAATATGTGGAAGCTCTGAGCAGAATATATATAATCAGACAAACTAAATTCAAAGAGACTGCCCTCAACAAGCAAATCATACAGAAATATGCTTTACAGAAGAGAGTCTTATGAGATAATTATATTAAATTCTTATGCAAAAAAATATCTAGCAAAATAGGTGACAACTGTAGATATTGTGAGACTCCAGATCATGTCATACAACAATGCTCTCATCTTTTTACCAACAAGAGATATCAAGAATGGAAGCCAAAGCTACATTTATGAATGAGATCAAGATCTAAAGAAAGATAGCACACAAATTCTGAACAGAAAAACCAGAGTTAATTCAAATCTCAGCAATCAAATTCTAGTGAAGATGCTAAGAATAATACAGAAGAAAATCATTTCATAATAGAATTTGAAAATAGCTTCACCAGCATGGCATTCAGACCTGACTTGGTAGCATCTGTATTCAAGAGAGCTGTTGATCTGAAAACCTGACTTATTGACACATACTGTAGCTACTTAATTTATTGCAATAAAGCCTACTTTACTAGCTTTGATTCTACTACAGACTATTGGTACAGGGCTTTGAATGGAGAAACCATTTTCATAAAGAGTAGTGGCATAGTATGTGTTAGATGCATTGTCCAGGATGGCATTGTCAATGAGATCTATATATGTGCATGGTATAATCTGAAGTTAGGCATGAATTTGCTTTCCACAAACCAGTTGACTGAAAAGTTGAATCTCTACTTTACAGAAGTAGACCACACACTGCAAACATGAAGAGACCACAAACTAGTGAGATATGCTAAGAAAAGTGATGGTGTTATAATTCTTGAGACAGAGCTACTTCATCAGCAAG